TAGGGTGGGACCAGTTTGAGCTCAGGCATGCCCAACTTCTCTTCCCCTCCTTTGCTCTGGACAAAGTGGAAGATAATTAAAATAGTACCCAGCACTTTGCTGTGTAGAGTTACAGAGGGCTCTGTGCCACCCTAGAGAAACTCTCGCAGCAGACTTGTTTTTTATAACCGCAGGATAATGTGCCATCCACTCACCGGTGCTGATGTGCTTATGTTTAGAGAACAGATTTCTTAAATTCCTGATGTCGGTCAGTCGTATTTTAAAATGTGCATAGCCGGTTTGCATAATGTAGGCTTTCAGCACTGTACCTGTTGGTCTGCTCAGTGATGGTGAACCTTTTAGAGCTTCCAGTGATACAAACAGCCCACTGTGACACCCATGCTGGGAGTTGCCACCACTGGTCTAGGTTATGAGAAACCTGTCAATAATGGGTAGATTCACCTTGGCTTAGTTTTTATTTAAGTTTTGTCTGTGTCTTTCCGTAAGTATGGGTATAAAAACACATACCTGGTTGCAACCTAGAAATGGGTAGGTTGGCCATTTCCTAATATTAACCCAGGAGTTTAAATCCCTCCCCCCGGAATTGGCTTTTATTGTGCTAAATTGAAAAAATATTCGTTCTCTTAATTGGAAAATTTTTCTCAATTTTCCTTAGAAAATGAAATCTGTATTCAGTCTGTGAGTGCTTACCATGGTCTTGAGAAAAATTCAGAGTACAGCATTGTAGTAGTTTAATTAGAATGCTTTAATTGAATGATACCTCATCCCTTTTGTTTCAGTTCTTGTTGAAAATAGTTACAAAGCACATTAGTGTCAGTTCCTCCCAGGACGTGGTCTCCTTAGAATCAGGGAGGTTATCTGGCATTGAGTGTGACCAAAGGCCTCAGCTTGTTCCATGCACAAAATGAGGATGACACTACTTAGCTCCCAGGGAGGAGTGGAGGAAAACAACATCCCTGGCAAATTTCCTGTCATTATTCCACAGGCAGTGACAAGTGGAATATGTTGAATGATGCCACCACTCCTGATAATTACTGAGATCCCAGGAGAACCCTGGAAACCTCTGTTATGAAGGCTTAATGTGGTGTTTGTAGTGGTAGAAGGCATGACCTTGTCTTGAATGTAGGCAACTCTAAGGCTCAGCCAGAGCTGCTCACCATCCAAGGCCTGTCGAGGCAGATGCCTCATGAGCCTGGGATTTGCATAGTCAGCTGCTGGCTGGTACCTGGGGAGAGAACGCCTCGTGTTCTCCACGGTGTATCTCACCCTAGGCACGAGGGCCTATTCTCAGTGCCAAATCTTTCAAAGTTTGTTTCTTAAAAAGTTGTACAGTTCTCTGTAGTTTTGTAGTGCTTGAAATTTTTCATGCTAAATAGTCTTTAAATTTAAAGATATAGCCACATATCTTAATAGCCAGAGACCATTTTCTTTTGGGGCAGCAAGACCAACTCATGTAGGCAGTTATAATACACATCATAGAGTCATAGCATCTTGGGGGACTCATCTGGGTCAGCCATCCAGAGCGCCAGCAGGACAGCAGCAGGTGGCACAGGCCCTTCATTCATACACTGTGGTATATCAGTTAACTTGAGCTGTTAAACCAACCTTCATTTTGGAGGTGCATCTTGGTCATGGTGTGTAGGCCTTTTCTGAGTTGCTGGAATAAGTGTGCTAATACTTTGTTAAGGTTGTTTTCATTTATTTGTATGTATATTTGGGAGAGATTTTTTAAAAATGTAATTCTATTTTTGATGCCAAAAATCTTCTGTGCTCACCATATAATATAGATGTATTTGATCTTTAGAGAGCTCTCATACAGTGATGGCTCATTGTTTTTAAGATACGACTTAATACTGTGTTAAAAAGCAACAGAAATGTTCGGCTCTCATTTCAAGTTAACATTTGGTTTTAATAAACTAATGAGAGCTTCAAAAGTTAAGATATATGTATTACTTTGCTATGGCTGCTGTAACGAATTACCACAAACTTGATAGCATTTGAAAAAAACAAGTTTTCTCTCTCTCACTGGTCTGGAGAAATCTGAAGTCGTACTCCTGGGCTGAAATCAAGGTGTTGTCAGGCCATGCCAACTTGAGGTTCTAAGGAAATCTGAAGTCGTACTCCTGGGCTGAAATCAAGGTGTTGTCAGGCCATGCCAACTTGAGGTTCTAAGGAAAAATCTGTACCTTCCTTCTCCCAGGATCTGGTGGCTGTCCGCTTTCCTTGGCTTGTGGCCACATTACTCCAATCTGTGACCTTATTGCCTTTTTTGCTTTGTCTGTGCCAGATCCCTCCCTCTCTGTCTGTCTCTGTCTCTGTCTTTGTCTGTCTCTGTCTCCTTCCCTCTCCCTCTCTCTCTACATGTTTGCAGTGTGTGAAGTTTACAGCCATCTTGGGGAATGTGTACATGTACATAATGCAGCTTTTTTTATTTTAATCTTCCTGCCCACCTTCCTTTCTCCTCTAAATCCCCTTGCCCCATTTTCATTCTCTCTCTCTCTCTCTCTCTCTTTTTTGTCTTTTTGAGACAGGGTCTCGCTATGCAGTTCAGGCTGGCCTTGAGCTCACTTTGTAGCCCAGGCTGGTCTCAAACTTGCAGTGATTCTTCAGCTTCTGTCTCCCAAGTGCTGGGATTACAGGCGTGCGCCACCACACCCAGCGGCATCCCCATTTACATTCTTGTTGATATGATTATCTTGCTTATGACATAGGGTGTTTACATTCATTGAGGTTATTAGGTTCCTGTACATGGCAGATCTTATTTCCCCTTGCCTCCCTCTCAGATCCTGGACCCCTTACCATTTGCAGGAGATCTATCGCCTTGTCTCCTTATCCATCCGTTACTGTGCTCTTTGTACTTTGCCTCGGTCACATGGGAGGTAGGAGATTTAATCTTGTGTATCTGATCTATTTCACTCAACATTTTTTCCAGGTGTGTCCATTTTCCTACAGGTTTCCTGAATTTCTCCTTCTTTAAAGCTGAAGGAGAAATACTACTGTATTTATAGTACTGTATTCCATTGTGTATAAATACCACATTTTTTTTTTTTTGTCCAGTCACTAGGCTCCTTCCAGGATTTACCTGTTAGGAATTGTGCTGCTGTAAACATTGGTGTGCATGTGTTGCTGTAGTATATCTTTAGCTCTTTGGGGAAGATACCTAGAAAAGAGGATAGCTGGGTTATATATGGAATTTTCTAACTTTAGTTCTTTGAGAAATCCCCGTACTGATTTCCATAATGGTTATACTAGGTCACATTCCCACCAGCAATGTAGGAGTGTTCCTGTTTCACCACAGCATTTGTTGTGTTTTGATTTCTTGATGATGGCCATTGTTTCTGGTATAAAGTAGAATCTTAGCATTGTTTTAAATTGTATTTCTGTAATGGCCAGAGATGATGAACATTTTTTCATGTATTTGTTGGCCTTCTTTGTACTTCTTCCTTTGAGAGGTATATATTCATTTTACTTGCCCATTTCTTGATTGAGTCTTTCAGGTGGTCTAGTGTTTTTTTTTTTTTTTTTTTTGGTCTAGTTTTTTATATATTGTAGATATTAGTGCTCTGTCTGAGGAGCAGCTGGCAAAGTGTTTTCTCATTGTATAGGTTGTCTCTTCACTCTAGTAACTGATTCCTTTGCTGTGCAGAAGCTTTTTAATTTGATATAATCACATTTATTGATTCTTGCTGTTATTCTTGTGCAGTTGTGGTTCTCTTTAGAAATTCCTTCCGCACAAAAGAGAGGGATGCTGTCAGCAGCCTGCTCTCTGGATAGCCAGCCCATTCTCCTGGGAACTACGTCAGTCTCTTTCATGAAGGTGGAGCTCTTGCTACCCAAACACCTCTTCTAGACTTCCTTGCCCCTCAGGACTGCTGCATTGGCAACTCAGTTTCAGCATGAGTTTTGGTGGGTACAGACCACAGCCAGGTAGCGGGCAGGGGCATGAATATGTAGGGCTCTGCTGAGCTAGTTTACCAAGTCCCTGTCTGTTACTGGCATGACTGAGTGGCCTGTGTGAGGAAGGTCTGCAGGCGAGGGATGGTGGGGTTCAAGCACGGTCTTACTTTTAAAGTTGCAATATCTGTTTCTATCTGTTTCTGTTGAGATCCATAACTTAACAGGGTAGGATTTTTGCTGTCAGATTTTTCTGCCACCACCTCTACCCCCACACCCGTTTTGGAAGGGCACTGCACCTGAATCCTAGAAGTAGCTGGTTCTCATGCCCAGGGACAGTCTACACAGCTGGCCATGCGGGGAGCAGGCCATAGCCAGCTTGAATGTGTGCTCTCCCATCGCCAAACTCATTTCACCTCAGCGGGTCTGAGGCTCTGGGAGGTGCAGTAGGAGCTCTTAACGCTTAGGACCTCTGTGTGGATGTTATTGCACCGCTTGCAGACTGAGCACACATCCTGCAGAGTTGGGCTGCTGCCACTTGCAGCGGGCTGCAGTAGGACTCACAAGGTTAGAACCGCTGCTCCTGGTGGTTACAAGCGTGCTGTTCACATGCATAGAAAATGTTTTGAAAGTCAAGCAATATGTCACTGAGTTAAACAGCACTTACTTTCTTTTTAGCAGTGGGGATTGAACCCAGGGCCTTTACATTGAGCTACAACCTCAGCCAGCCCTTTTTTCTTTCTTGAGACATTGTTTTGCTAAGTTGCTCAGGCTGGGCTCGAACTTGTGATTCCCTTGCCTCAGCCTCTTAGAGTGCTGAGATTACTGGTGTGTATCACCATGCCCAGCAGCACTTGTAGTATTTTAATTACAGACCTTAAATGGAAACATTAATTAAAGGTGATATTACATATCTTAAATTTCAAAAGTATTGTTAGACCCTAACCACTGCCCAGTGTGAAATCCTTGCACTGATTCTAGTAGAATGGCAGGCTTGGCTTCGCTTGTGTGCAAGGGCCCTGCCCTGCAGCCGGCTCAGGCCTCAGGCTCCCAGACTGAAGGAGTGTTGGGCCGGCCCTGAACCCTGTGCTGCCTGTTGGTTTCAGCAGGGAGGAGAGAGCGACGGCTTTTTCCACCTCGAGGGCCAGCCCCAGCGGCTTCCTCAGCCTCCAGAAGTGAGACAGCAGCCTGCCCGCAAGGTGACGCTGACCAAGGGGGTCCCTCAGCAGGCCCAGCATGCCCCCTTGGGATCCCACGTGCATTCGGCTGTTCCTCCAGGGATCAAAAGCATCCAAGGCATTCACCAGGCCAAGAAGGTACTGCCTGCCCCCTGCCTGCCCAGACGTGGGAGGCCTGCTCCCTCACAGGAAGTGTCCCACTGGTTAAGGACAGTTCTCTGATTTGTGCTAGCTGGCATCTGTTCATACTCCCATTGGCCAGTGAGGCCTCTTTTCCTCACCTGGTGCTCGCCAGCCAGTTGCACACATTGCAGAGCTGGGCTGTTGCGTGCACCTCTGAACAGTGAGCTGCACAGTGCCTGCTCTACACACTGCAGCTGCAGCTGCTGCACACAGTGACAGGACCACGTGGGCAGGCCCTCTCCTACACCCCTCCCCAGATGCCCGCTGTAAAGCCAAAGTTCTGCCTTCAGGGTTCCTAGTCACCACCTCAGTTCCAAGAGGGGAAACTGAGGCCCTTGATGGTAGAGAGACCCAAGGAAGTGATAGAGCCACAGCCCTGGCCCTGTAACCCTTCCGCTGGCCGTTGGGTTGAGGAACATGTCCCTGTCTGAGCTCAGTCTGGTGGCAAGAAGCCTGGTGTCTGCTGGAACCTGTGCTGTGCATGATGCCCATCTGGTTCCATGACATGCACAGCAGTGCCAGGGTACCCTCCCTTGGCTTCTAGGCAGAGGCTGCTTGTAAATTCTAGAGGGTGGGCAACAGCAAGGTCTGTCGTAGAGCAGCAGCCAGCATCACCTGTCTCAGGAACAGGTGAGACTGGACAGGGGAGGGGCGGCACCTGCTTCGACTGTTTCCAGAAGGCCTGGGGTTTGCTGGTGCAAGGTACTGAGGTTCCTCTGTGCGTGCTGCCCCGTACAGAGGGCAGTGAACCCCTAGGCACATTGTCCTGTCAGGTGCTCTCCCTGGCTCCATGACCAGAAAGACCACAGAAAATGCACAGCCTGTATGTGGTATGTGTAGGTACCGAGTTCCTTTGTCCTCCTGAAAAGAGGATGATGCCCTTTCTTGTTTGAGCTCTCAGGAGGAGTTCGTATGATGTGTAGAGAGACCTGGCTTAAAAGTAAGCGTACTCCAGTGTGTTCATATTCTAACTTTCCATATTGGCGCAAAAGAGCACTTACGACTGCTTTGCAGCCTTGGCACTTGGAGCTTCTGATGCATTTCCCAGTATGGCCCTGGAATGGCCTGAGTGAGCGCTCTGTAGGGGTGAGTGCCCATCACCTCTGCAGAGTGCTGGGGAACACAACTTTCTCCTGGCTTTCTCTGCATGGTGCCATTGTGCCATGTGGTGTGATTCTGATCTCACCCTGGTCTTCTTCCTACCTTTCCTGGGAGGCCTGGGAGGCTGCTGTTTTTGCCCCCGTCTGGGTGCACTATGGGGCATCTGGGGAACCGGGTGCTGGTCAGTCCCACTTAAAGTCTGCATAGTCTCTCTGTAATTTCCTAATCGGGAGAAAATGCTGGAAAGGCCTCTTTAAGTCTTTCTAAGCAGTGGTCCTGAATCCTGATAGCTTAAAAAAAGAAGCAGCAGCGAAGCCAAAGGGATGCTTTCTGGACCCTGCCCTTTGACCTGAGGGTCACGCTTAGGATTGAGGGCAGAACCAGTCCTGGTTGTGTGTGTATGTGTTTAAGTCTCACCAGATGATCGTAACATGTAGCCCTGCTGCAGAACCTGCCTTTACGTTTGGGGGATGGTGGGTGTAGACTTTGTCCAGGTGGGTTGCTTGCCTGAAGTGTGGCGTCTTGGAACTGCCAGGTGGATTCGGCACCGTGCTTGGTGGGTCCCTACTGGAACAGTGGGAGAAGTATGGGCTCTTGGCAGTTAGGATGGGGTCCACTACCTTCCCCCTGTTACTTGCCCCGAGTTTATGACTCCCTACCCCAGGGGTGCCTCACCCACAGACTGGTAGCACGCAGTGTGCTGAGTGCCTGTGTGGCCCCAGGACACTCAGGTGTTGGCACTCCCCTCCTGGTCCTCACCTGCTTTTGCTGGGCTTCCCTGTCTCAGTGAGGTGTAACTGTCCTTGGGGAGAGGATAGAAAACTACAGAGAATCCTGTAGCTCACTGTATTCTAGTGGATGCTGAGTGGTTTGCTCCTTTGATATCTTAGTAGCCAGGAGGTAGCCCGTACCTGAACATGAGAATGCACTTCCTTTGTTGTTCCAGCCCATCATGCATGGACGAGGCCGAGGAGTGGCGGGTCCCATGGGCCGGGGGCGCCTGATGCCCAACAAGCAGAACCTGCGCGTGGTGGAGTGCAAGCCGCAGCCCTGTGTGGTGTCTGTGGAGGGGCTGTCCTCGTCCACCACTGACGTCCAACTGAAGAGCCTGCTGATGTCTGTGGGACCCATCCAGGTGAGTGGCCAGGGGGCGGCATGGTGTCTCTGCAGTCTGTCAGGTCCAGGGTGAAGCCCTGTCTTGGTGCCCACGGTATGACTGGGTGGTATTAAAGTAATGACTTAGAAGACAGACAAGCGTCTGCTATGCACACTGATGCCTGAGCTTCTGCCTCATACTTGGAACGTTCAGGTTCTCAGTTAAAATTTTAAGAAATAAAGATTCCAACAGAATAAATTATCCTTTGAAATCTTCAAGTTATCTTGTAGTTTACACATGCATATCTCACTGAACATTTTTTATTCTATCAAATCACAGGGTTTTTTTGTAATAATTTCTAAAAATTTAAAGTATTTAGCCTTTTCTTAAGGCTAGTCCTGAAACAACAGCACAAATTAGCAGCTGTGGAACACTGTTCAGATTTTACAGACAGGATAGTAGCTTAGACTGTTTGCATCTCTTAATTTTAAAACTGGCTAATTCCAGTGTTCAAAAGTTTAACTCTCCCCTGCGCTGGCCCCCAAGGGAATGGGTGAGTATGAAGTGGATAGAACGCCGCGTTCTCTGTACCAAGCCCTGCAGACGCCCCTTGAAGCGGGTGCCTGGCCTCTGTCCCGCCGTGGCCCCTTCTGCACGCAGGGACCGTTCACTGCCCTCCTTACACAGCTGTCGTCAAGCACGAGCTAGGTCTGAGGGTAGAGCTCCTCAGAAACATAGCTGGTAAAAATGTTAGGACACAGTAAATGTTAGATTTTTAGAAAGCAGAAAATTCTTTCAGCCTATGATCTCTTTATTCCTGAGTGAATTTGGGGACATTTTCAGGCTGGGGTCGGCACAGGTAATTAATGTTTCAGATCTCCATCTATTATTATTGAGAGTCCTAAAAAATGAGGACAAGATGAAAGCTTTCAAATGTCTGTTATTAGGCTTAATTATAACCACCTTTGTTGCGAGGTTTTTGTTTTTTTTGTTTTTGTAGTAACATTGAAAAGAACCATAACCTCTGTTTCCACTTTTAGGAGCAAGTCTCCTAGTTCTGTGGTTAGAAACACTTTGTTATTTGTCAAAAGCATAAAACCACAGTGTTCATGGATAGGTAGTTTCTAAGCAGTTGGTCATCATGGAGATTAATGTACAAGAACAGAGTTGACAGTAGAGAGTTTCAGGTGCATTAAAATTGCTTCATGTGCTCTGAAACACAAAATAAGTGGCGTTGATAGTTGTGGGTAGTGTACTGGTTTGTCCACGTCCAGACTGGATGCCTAGAGCCTTGTCCACCAGGGACACACCTTTTTGAGGGTCAGTGAGTGCCAGCACTGCTTGCATATTCAGCCTGCTGATTTTACGGTGTGACCTCATCATAACAGTCTTGGCCATCTTCTTTAATATTCTGGACTCTGAACAGCAAGCACCGTTTGCGTTTCGTAGCGCTGAGTGAGACTCATAGGCTACATAGTGAAAATGAGCTTGGAGCCCTAAAACCACCTAACCTTACATCATTGAAGTTAAACTTCGAAATGTTTAATGATCTCCTGGGTGGCTTTTTTTCTTCCATTTTGCCACTTTCTTTTCTGAAAAAAATTAGAAATCATTGTGTTATAAATTTGAGTGGAGCCTCTTAAAATCCCAGCCAAGGCAGTGTTGTAGGTGGTCACAGTGAGCTGCTTAATTGGAGAGCATGAGAACATTTCCTGGGTCCCTCAGTCACTGTGGGTGAGGGAGAAGGTGCAAGGGTCCTGGCCCCTGCAGGCCCCAGGACCAACTCCAAACTCCAGCGGGCCACTCCCCCTGTCCTAACAGCAAGCAGCCTCTCACCAGCCTTAGGCTTGTAGGATGAGTTTGATGGGGAAAAGCACAGCATTTTCAGAGTGCCACTTTTCCTGATTTAAAAAGAAAAAAAGAAAAGACTAATACAGCAAACTTTGCCAGCATTTGAGGGCTAAAGAAGTGCTTTAAAGAGGGCGCCATCCTCTGACTGTAGTCTAGTAAGTGCATGCTTTGAGGATGGTGCCGACTGACCCAGGTTTCAGCCTCTGCCTGCCTGGCTCCAGAAAGAGTCTGTGTGCTCTGGAGTGTGGAGCCACCTAGTGTTCACTCACCTAACGGCACATAGTGGAGTTGACGGGGACCCCAGTGGTTTGTACACCTGTGGAGTCCGAGATTGTCCTCCGCGTGGCAGTGATGTGGCAGACACTGCTTGACTCAGTGTTTTTACTTCCTTGCACTGCTGTCACAAGCTGCTGCAGAGTAAAACAAGTGACAGGAGTGTGCAGAAATGCTATAAGCAGAAGACAGAAGCATCACAGGTATGGTCATGCGTTCCAGAGTCAGCTGCAAGGCGTGGCTCTGCCTGGACACCGCAGGGTGCAGCCAGCCCCAGCAGTGAGCGCGGAGGCCTTGCCGCGAGGCTGCGGTCTCCATCCTGGCTTTACTGTGCCGTGGTGGTGCAGCCTTAATGGGAGAGCTTCACCTGTGTGAGCCAGCTGTGCTCGGTCTGTAACGTCCAGGTAACTCCTCGGTGCCTGTTTGTACGAGGGAGCTTCAGTTCGCCCAGTGGCAAACGAGGGAGTGGCTGCCGTGTGTAGGCTGGAGGTGCTCTTACTTCACAGCTGCTTCTTCCGGTGTGGGGGGTGCATTGTTGTCCTTGTGGTTGTAATGGCTTTGCATTCCTCAGGGCTGAATCACATCCCTGCTGGTTCGTTCGTTCATTCAGAGACAGAGGAGTCTCAGTTACCTGTGCGGGGCTCAAACGTCCAGTTCTCCTGCCTCACCCTCCCAGGGTGCAGGGTTATAGGTGTGCGTGCTCTTCTTTAGGAGGGATGGTGAGAGGTACCACTGAAAGTTACCTGACAGGAAGGCGTGAGAGGAGGGTCCTGCACAGATCTGGGGGAGCTGGGAGGCGAACGTGCCAGGGGATGGCAGGTCTGAACGCAGGCGTGCAGGACAGAAGTGCTGCTCGCGACTGATGGAGGGAGCTCTGTTTGCGATTAGGTGGTTTTGCACAGTGAGCAGCGTCGGCAAGGAGGTGTAGAAGGTGCAGGCCGGTTTCTGTCGGTGCTCCACGCACAAGCCTGGCCCTCAGTTCTTCGTTGTAGCCTGTCCTGTGTGTGCGTTTACGTTATTGTTAGAGTGACGCGTGGCGTGTTTCTGTTCTCCTCCTCCAGAGCCTGCAGATGCTTCCCCAGCAGCGGAAGGCCATCGCAAAGTTCAAGGAACCAGCTCATGCACTGGCGTTTCAGCAGAAATTCCACAGGTAGCCCATGGTCCTGTGGGCGTGAGTGAGGGGAGTCTCCCCCCTGAGGGGGTTGCCGCCTACTGTGGGCTGCACCAGTGACGGAGCAGAGCACCAGCAGCTCTTGTCACGTGGGCAGCGCTCTCGTGTGTTTGCATATAGATGTTACCTGTAAATCTGCCTTTGTCACTTGCTTGTTGTTCTCTTTGTGGAAGAGACTGCACGCAGGGCCTTGCATGTGCTTGCTAGTCAAGCAAGCCCTGCCCCCCGGGCCGCACCCGTACCCCCGCTTCTTCCTTGTTGTAGAAGAGGTATTAGTCCTGACCCACTGTTGTACGGCATTTTCTTCCCTTGGTGAGTTGATCGCCAGTGTGCAGAGTTGGTGTTGACTGTTCCTTTACATTTCCACAGGCACATGATAGATTTGTCCCACATAAATGTGGCCCTGATCGTGGAGTGAAGTCTTACCGGGAGAGTCTCGGCTCATCTGCATACACGTGGAATTTCTTCAAGGAAGCTGCCACTTAGGAAGACCGCAGGAGTGCAGCCTCTCGGTCTGCAGTGTAACTCTTGTCCGGGCGTCACTCGGCGCCGACGACTCCGCAGAGCTGGATGACGGGACATGGCGAGCGAGATGGGTGTTGGGTTGCTTTGCATTCCGTTGTCCTCAAGAACTCAGTTCTCGTTTCCCTTTGTTTCCAAGTGCTCACAATGCATGTAGACCCTGTTCTCCATGATCCTGCTGTCTGATCGATCACAGTGACTCAGTCAGGAGAGAACGTGACGTCCCAGGTTCTGAGTATTTTTCATAGCGAAGAATATTTGATAATGGTTGCACTTATCTTCAGTGCAGGCTAGAAAGGAGTGTCTCAACTAAGCTTCACCAGAGTTGTCTCCTCAGCCTGCAAAGACTCTGGTGAAAACGTAGTTAAAATTTGGCCGATGATCAATTGACACGTGTGTAGCCTGAAAAGCCAGGTGTGAGTGGGTGGTTGGGATGGTGCCAATGGAAGTGGCCATTCTGCTTCTTGAAGCTTTCTCCAAAGTGCCCGTTGCGCGTTCCTGGCTCCCGGGAGAAGTCCCACCTGTCCACGCTCTCCCAGACAGGCACAGCGCTGGCAGGTACAGGATGCCTGCAGCCCCTGGGGGGGCCGGTTTCCTGCCCTGCAAGGTGAGGCACTGTTGAGGGGTGATCGGACCTGCGTAGGTTTTCTTCTTTTTCAGTGCAGCCCCGGGTGGTGTGTTTGTCACTGACTCAGTGACACGCGCTATCATTGGTTTGATTGCCTTTTTGCTTTGAAGGCCTTTGTGCAGGGGCTTCACGGTCCTTTAGGGGTCCGAGGGCTTGCTCTGGCTTGCCATTCTTCATGCCTGTGCGGAAGGATGGCTGTCTCACAGGGATGTAGTCTGGTAGGTTCTGCGGGGAGACTCACTCTTCACAAAGGCTCTGTGGAAGTCCTTGCTGGGCGCACACTGGAAAGTGCCTTACTGTATTTCCGCCCGGGAGTTTCACTGGTAGAGTAAGTCCAGGGTCGGTCTGAGCTGTTTGACCAGGCATCCCAGGGCACACTCAGACTTTTTAGCTGTATGTCACACCCGTGATTTCATGTCACGTTGTTAGTCGAGTTTGGGCATAGAAGCCCATTGTCACTACTTACTGCCTCTGGTTAAGCCAGTGAGGACCAGCTTGAACCTTAGTGCTCTCCGGAATGCCCCATGGGAGCTGAGAAGACAGGAGGCAGGAGGGGACTTGTAGCCTCTGGTTTGCACAGCTGCAGTTTTAGATTCCGTTTTCAGATTAAGTTGCTAGTACTGAGGTAGAGAAGAGCGTCCGGCCCTGTCAGTGTTGTGTGGCACTGATTGTGAGTTGACATCACGTGCCTAGAAGGGACACCGAAAAGTGCAGGTGGTTGTGCGGGGTCTGGGGAACTGTGGCTCTCACAGGATGTCCTAGCGGACCCTGCCCTGGGGTCTGCCTCTGTTCCAGAAGCCTCTGCCCAGCCTTGGCAGAGCTGTTACTGCACACTCACGTCCAGTTAGGTACAGGTGTGTCTATACCGGTGACAGTGCGGCCTGCATGGCCCAGTCCTCAGAGCTGCATTGAAGCAATGAGGTTGGCATCCTGTAAGCGACAGTTCAGAGAGATCCTGACCTCTTAGGACCTGCTGGATCATAGGAAACCTTATTTTATCGTCCAGGACTTAGGGTACAGTAAAATGAGTTTTAACAGTTTTTTTTTTTTTTTTTCTCTCTCAAATAGTCTGTGATGCTTTTGAAACCCAGATCCGCACCTCTCTCTAGAAGTTGGTAGGCATTGAGACGTGGAAGTTAGTGTTGACAGAACAAATCCTGTCGGGTGCCGTTGCTCAAGACAGGCTTCAGGCCTCTCCCAGGTCTGCTTTTGCCCTTGGCTGAGGATGACTGGAATTCCCAAGAGCATGTGTGTGTCCGTTTGTGTAGCCATCTGCACACTCTGACAGGTGTTCTCTTCCTGCATCAGCATAGGCAGAGGTGGCAGGGCCGTGCATAGGGCTGGCTAGGGCAGTGGGGTGTAGGTGCAGACCAGCCTCTCAGTGTTCATGCCCAGGAGCAGCTCAGCCCCGGGCAGGCCAGTGCTGCAGACGTAGTGTCCGTGGAGGAGCCACAGAAAAGGAAAGAAGCAGAATTAGAAATGTTACTTCATTCTCAGGTGCACTTCCACTGGGGAAGTCAGACCCCGCATGCACCTGAGCCCTGGGGAAGATCTGCTGCAACCATTATCTTTGTTCTTTATCATGCATTTAAGGTGAGGGGCAGGGCGCTAGCACACTGTGTACATACGGACCTTTGAAAATGACACGTTACTGGAAATGCTATCTACGCGACAACATCTTAGCTATTTGTTAGTTCCTCTGTGTTGTCTTATCAAAGTTTAATGGAGACACTTCCGTAATTGTTTATGTGTTTGTGTGTACATTCGATTTTTATAAAGATGGTAGTAAGTCAATTCATTTATCCTCATCTGTGTATTATTTGTTCACAAATTCAAGAAACATAAAGGCAGTAAATGCTAGTAGATCTCAGGAGGTGAATGAGCAGGTGATTATATGTAGTCAAGTAACTTCTCTTCTTTTTGCATTGTTTATTTTGTCTGTAATGTAAGTTCACCCAGCTGCTGACCTGAACATAGCTTTGCATTACCCTTGGCCTGGCCACATTTGTTAAATCCTATACTGATAGTCTTCTCGAGAGCAAATCTCATCTTCTCTTTCTAAAAGAAATGTGGCGATTGCCTGGTGTCCTGGATAGGCAGCTTCCTGTGTAGGCCCTGCGCCCACACTGCAGCCTCACCAAAGGAGAGCGGGTGGGTGGTTGTGGGAGGTGCTTTAGCCGTCAGCATCTTAGGTTCCTAACATGCTGTGTAACAGTCCTCCATGAGCGGCTGCTTGAGTTCCCGTCAGGAGTGTTGCTGAGTGGTGGCAGTGCAGGTCCTGTGCCCAGCTTTCTGCCCGGTGCTGCAGACAGAGGCTCTGCTGCTCAGGGAGGCTGCTGTGGAGCCGTTGGGGAGGGCAGGAAGAGAGTCAGGGATAGTGGCCAGGAGAGGGGCTCCTTCCACAGGAACAGGTGACAGGTTAGGTGAAGGGGCCTTTCTTCAAGGACTGGGGTTAAGAGCCTGTCCCATTTTTCTTTTGGCTTTTGTGTTTTTTTCATTTGTTTTTGCCTTTTATTCCTCTCTGGTTTTACCGGGAAGGTAAATTCAGCCCGTCTGTTGCACAGATACTAGTGAGTCTGGCCCAGTGACTTGATTCTGCAAGCCCGTGGAGGTCTGTGCAGCAGCGGGCTGCTGCTCGTGGTCGTCCGTGAGCTCTCTGTGGTGGTCCTGTCTGTCCCCTTGCTGGGGTCAAGAAGTACTGCAGGATGGCTCTGGGCTTCACTGTATGGCCGTTGCCCTTTGTAGGAGTCCCTGTTTAATTTCCTCACTTTCTAGCTGTAGGGCTCGTCCTTCACACGGGCACTGTTAGACACGTCAGTCCGAATCTCCTTCAGGAACCTGCAGCTGTTCCCTGCCTTGTCTACCTGGAGAGGGAGGTGGAGTGTGGGGATGTCACTGGCTGGCGAGACTGCAGGAACTGTTCTGAAAGGGAAGGGCCCGGCGTGCAGGAGAGAAAGCACTGGGGTCTCTCGCCATGAAGGAGCTGCAGGAGCTTAGGTCAGCTGTGGGGAACTTTCCATGCTGTGTTTAGTGAGCATCTCAGTTGATGTTTTCAGCTGTTTTAAATTCTGTAAATAAAGTGTTACTTTGACTTCTCTAACTATGAACTCTGCAAAGGCATTTAGCCTTGATTTAATATTAAATCCTAAGGATTTTGTGTAAGGTTTTTTTGCAACCTGTTTAGTTCTTATCATTGAAAATGCCTAACTTCTTAGGTACATGAGCCCGTGGTGTTGTGTACCAGAGAGAAAGCAAACCCACTGATCCATGTTGGATCCCCAGGTATGCCTCCTTCCGGTGGCGCACAGTCCCGCTCACTGTGGCCTGCCTCCTCCAGGGACTGTCCTACATGCCTCCCGTCTTCCGCCGTGCTCTCTAGGACATTTTTAAGCAAGATGGGCTGGCAGAGCAGGCGCTCGCAGTGAGAGGCTTCTTAAGAACTTGATTTTTCCTTTTTTTTTTTTTTCCGACAAACTAAAACATAGAGGTCTTTGTGTTGGTGTTCTGCTTGGTTTCATTTTACTAATTTTAAGAGGTTTGAGAAAAATGCAGGTCCTTTAGAAAGAAGTACTCTGTAGTTTTTATTTGCCATGTCCCACGTACTGGACAAGCAGACAGGCACTGGCTTAACCCCTACTCTTCGCCAGATTAGTATGCTCCAGAAAGGGGTCCTCTGGACTGTTTTTACACGATTTTCTCCTAAACTAATTTTTATTTTAGGGTCTGATATAGTGGGAGCTGATTTTAAAGGACTACTTGAATTTTTTGCCTTCTATGCTGTTTTCTTAGCATATGTAATATTTAAAAATAACGTGTACACACACAGTGGTGCTGTCAGCTGAGGAACAGAATAACCACCTGTTTTTATAATTCTGCTTTGCTTTTCACAGGCGTGGGATCCAGAACGCTTTTCCTCTGTGAGGGTTTTAACTCCTAGGCTTTAATTCCATTTAATTTGCAGGTGCAGCAGTGACAGAGCGCAGAATCCGATGTCTTTCCTTTTGGAGCTTGTTCTTGGCTTGTTGGCTGTGTCTGTTTTCCTCCGGCTGCTGCTGTTCTGTCTTGGGCTGCACCTCCCCAGGGAGCGGGAGCCCGAGCCCCGCCTGCCGCCTCTGCTCCTCTTTCCTGGCTGACCCCTCCCTTCTACACACCGGACGCGAGGTGCTGCTGCTGGCCCTGCTCCCCTCCTTCCCGCTCTCCTGGCCTCCTCCTCGCCCCTGTCCTGTCTTCAGCCCAACATGCAGGGCTCCACTCCGGCCGAGCGGAATGTGTTGAGTGTCTCTGCACCGTGTCCGTGACTTGCTTTCTCTAACCCTTTGCTTTGACAGGTCTCCGCTCATGATTTATTCCTCCAGGTCTTTGATTGGAGAGAATAACTTTTTGATTCTGTTATTTTGCAGTTTGGCTCTCTGTAGGAGTGTGGGGCGACTCAAAGATGCCAGCATCCCGCAGCTGTGGTTGGCCGTGCATTAACCACCCCTTCTCTGTTCTTGTCCCTCTGCCTTCGCAGGGCCTGGGGCGTGGGTCAGTGTAGTGGTGTAGTGCGCCTCTCATTCCACTTGGAAGTGATGGCCGTGTGGCCGTGTCACTGCCCTTGCTGACGGTGGCCCTCCTAACGCAGTGTGCGCCTTGCGCTGCGCCAGGTGCAACGTGGAGCTGCGTTTGTTGGGAGCACGCTGCCTGCAAACCAAGGGATGGCTGACTTGCTCTTCTGGGTTTGATCGGCTTCCTGTTTTCTGCCACTCACACTCCGTCTGCCTCTGTGGGAATGATGTTGCTGTGTTTTACCCCATTTTCCCTGTGCGTTAACCCCTGTGGGGACTTTTCCAGGACTGTTTGTGAAGAATAGTAGTGACATAGGTGAAAAGACAATGTATTGTTGTGTGTATCATTTGTGTGATTTCATCCTGAAAGATGTGTTGGCACTATATTGTATCTTGCAAGGTGTGTTAATAAAGTCTTGCAGTGTCCCCTCTGGCTCCGAGTCTCATTTTGTCCCAGGTCCACCCATACGACAGGGCCCCTTCGTGCACGCTGCGCCCGTAGTCTGGTCCCAGCAGAGGGGACTGCCTGAGGCCCGATGAGTGGACCCACACGAGATCCAGGGAACAGCTCGCCTCGTCCCCAGGCATGGGGCGCGTGATCGGGAACTGGCCACACAGGGCTAGCGTATGCTCTGTTTTCTTGAGAACGGGTGGTGGAACTAGAGTCTCTTAAACTTTTAAAAGCATTTACAAATATTTTTTACTGTATCAACATTGAGGAAAATGGAGAAAATCAGTCCTGAGTTTCTGTCATGTGCAGGCCCAATTTGAGAAGTTGTAAACCACAGCGACCACTTTCCATTTAATACCTCATCAGCCTTTTTCAGACGGCTCTAATTTGCGCATAGTGTGTGGCTTATTTCGAAAACAAGTGAAGGGCGCAGCAGCTCTGCTTCCAGGAAGCTTTGCTGAAAGAAGCATCCAAGTAATAGAGAGCCCTGACTTCCGGTGTCCGTGCCAGCCCCAGGACCCTGCCGCGCGGCCCCGATTCTGCTCAGCGGTGCTCTTCCTTCCCTGGACCTCTGTGGGAGGCGCTCAGCTCTCACGGCCTGGGCCTCCAGTACCCTTGTGACGCAGGCCTAGGCCAGCGCAGCGGGCGGACACGGCAGCACGGGGTCTGGACGGCCCTTGCCGAGCCGGCCAGTGTTGTGCGTCAGCGGAGCCCATGAGGGTGCTGGGGCGGTGCCCAGTACCCACCCTGCACTCCACGGGGCTGCTCTGCAGCTTGCACCCGCGTCGGGCCAGGACCCAGCATACCCTAAGGGCAGGAGGGCAAGGCGCAGCACCCCTTGGCACAGCAGGATTTGGATCCCAGTGATACTAAAAGGTGGCAGGGGTGAGCAGCCTGCCATCCTCCTGCAGGGGCATCCAGAGCACAAGATTCTGAGGGCTGTGTGGCGGCACGCCACACTCGGGAGATGCCCTGCTGTTTCCACCTTTCCTCCAACCCATGTCCGCACTTCTGGGGATAGCGACGCTGCTGTCTGAAGAATTTTACCTTATTTTATTCTAGTAACAAGCAGACACTTTGGGTTCATCAATAAAAGTATTTAATAAGATCCTGATTCTTAAAGGCAAGTTAGTAAACTAAGCAAACCACTAGCTAAGAAAAAAGGAGGAAGCACATATAAAACAAATGCCAAGGGGAAATTACTGTTGGGAGAAAAGACTTCATGCTGTGGCAGCATACAACACCACGTTTGAGGCTTTGATCACGTCTCGTGTGCATCGCTCTGTGGTAGCAGGCGCGTTCACAGCGCCACGCAGCCGTCACCACTGTCATCTGTGAGCCTTTCCTCGTGCGCCCGGAGCCCTGTCCCTGTTCGCACGAGCCCCCACTCCCTGGCAACCACCATCGCGCCTCGTCTCTGGGTTTTGTGGTTCTAGGGACTGCTTGCAAGTAGGAGCGTGCAGGACTTGTCCTTTTGTGACTGTCGTCTTTCACTCCATCGTGCCTCGGAGTTCACGCCGGCTGTAGCATGTGCCGAGACTTTTCTCCCTGAGAGACGGAGCAGTATTCTGTTGTGCGGATGGATTACATGTTGCATATGCATCGATCTGTTGCCTGCACCTCTTGGCAGTTGTGAATAATGCTGCCGTGAGTGTGAATGCAGAGGCGTCTTCACAATCTCGTGTGCAGTTTTGGGGGCTGTGTGAGCAGAAGTGGAAATGGCCATACGGTACCTCCGTTCAGGGTTTTGGAGGAGCCGGTTACCCTGTGTTCCAAGCAGCTCTCCCACTTTGCATTCCCATCATTAGAGATCAGGGGTTCTAGTTGCTCCCTTCCATGCAAACACTTGATATTTTCTCTCTTTATTTATTTTTATAATGGCCGGGTAGCGGTAGCCCCCTAACGTGTATGGAGTGCTGTCGCAGAGTGGTGTGGGTTCGTACCTCCTAATAATTAGTGATGCTGAACATCTCACTAGTTTTTTTGACCGTTTGCATATCTCCTTGGAGGAAAGTCTACTGAAGTTCTTTGTCCATAAGAAGCCTTTCTAAAAAGTTAGGAAAGACTTTGCGGATCTTCATACAAGTAAGTTTGAAAACCTAGGTGACACAGATAATTTCCTCTGAAAAAGGTTTCCTGAAACAGACCACAGTGGAGATCCAAAGCTTACACCAATCCCACCAGAAGACGTGTTCATATTCGCTGAGAACGCAGACCAAAAGGCATTCATCCAGCTTTCTTGCAGGGCTTCGAGTGAAACCGGAATGCCGAGGGAGGGTTGGGGGACGGGTTGGGTGGCTGTGGGCTCTGCGTTCGTGACGTTAGTCACGGAGCCGGGTCCAGAGCTCCGGGTGGGTCGGCCTCTCCCCGGGGCGTTCAGTGCCCAGGTGGGATCGCAGGAACTTGGGAGTCACACTTGTGAAGTCGGTGTTCATCGGTCACTTGCACCACACTGAAAACTAACAGGGAAAGAGGACTGCTCGTCTCGGAGCTTGGATAACCATGCGGTCCTCGAAAGAAAATGGAAGTCTAGTTCCCGTTGCCCTTTTAAGAATAAGTGTAAATATACAAATACATATATAATTCTGTGCTACTTCTCAGAGTTCCTTAGCTGCCCTGTGGATGGAGGCACGTGAAAGCCTCGAATTGGTAGCTCAGTAGCTCTAATACTGTAGAAAAGTCATGAATGGGCCATCCTTGGTCTGCGCTGTCCATGGCTTCGTTGGAAATGATTATCCTTTCGGGATTTTGCTTCTGCAAATTTCAAATAGGTTCCATTTTTTTTTTTTTTTTTTTTTAGTGTGACATACGGTAGCAGCCCTTGGATCAAAACAACCGAGCTGTCATTCCTTTCTGGGCTTCTGTGGTAACCCCATTCTTTGGCGGAGCCTAACAGTGTTGGTAGGGGATGCCAGAGGGTTTGGATTTTCTGTCCCATTGTCAGTCTTTAAGAGAAACACTAAAGTCCTTGACTGCTGGTGTCTGCTCTTGGCATGTCACCTGTATGATGGTCCAAAGGGTGCGGCCCCACTCTCAGGATAGTCCCGAGTTTTAGAATGCTCCCTGCAGCTTGAGCACAGATTTGTTTCTCCAACTCAGAAGCCTGGGGAGCACAGGTTGCCTGGTTCCTGAAGGGCTGCTTCAGCACCCTGTGAAACCAAAGTGGCAGGTTTGATATGTCAACCTTGATATGTCACCTCCATGACTTCATGATCTCAGGGCCAGCACTGGGCTCCTTTATACGTGATAAACCCCACTGACCCTAGAAGGTAGCCCCAGCTTTTGATGATCTGTCTGGGAAGGGCCGATTCGCTTGTGCTGTGCTCCATAGCATGCTCAAAGGGCATGCTCCACAAAGTTAGACTCATATCCTGAGGGCTGAATCTGTTTCAGGAGACAGGTGTTAGCAGCAGTGGCCAGCAGGGGCTGACCTCTGCAGGACACAGCAGCCTCTGCTGAAAGATAGGCACCGTGAGAAAAGATGGCAGAATGCCAGATTCCAGCACTGACGTAGGGACCTGGATAACCAGCTTGAACACTGGGTCTGCGTTCCCCCTGCGATGAGGAGGACGAGGAAGATGGCGACAAGAGGAGTTCTGTATAGTTTTGCTGAGGTTTCCCTTAACTTTGCCTGCATAAGATTATTAGCATCGCTGTTTGCTGGAAAAACTGGGTGGTCTAAGTAGGGTCCACAAGTCCTCCTTGGAGGGACAGCTGAGGCAGGCTTTCCTTTGGCCGGTCGTCAGACTTCTTGCTGCTCACACCAGGTTTAATAGCTGAGCTTTTACGGCGAGTGTCACCTGCAGCAGGTTTTCCTGGTCGCTCCTCCAGGCGCAGTTTCAGACTTCCAAGTGGGCTTTGAACCATCGACCCCATTTCCCTTTTGTTCCCCACACTGTAGTCGGGCTTGAGAGTTTCTAGTCCCAGTTTTAAGGTGAGGACACTGATCTCTTGTGGCATTATTTTGCCTGGGCACTAGTGAATCTAGCATCCCTTTTTTCAGTATGGTGAATCCTCTTCGGCCCGCTGTCATGTCTGCCCTTCGCCCAGATAACCGTGAATTACACAGCCTGAATATTTGTTACGACACCGTTTGGAACTGCTGCAGTATCGGTCTTCTCCACAGCTGGTTTGCTCCAGACCTGTTTTCACGAGACTTCCCGTTCTTCTTGTCCGTACTGTTTGTCTAGAAGTCCAGTGCGCTATATCGCACCACAGAGCCAGATCATACTGACTTTCTGAATGAAGTGCTTGGTTTTAATTCCTGCCCTCCTAAGGGTGTCGGCCTTCACCGTCTGCGTCGGACCAGCACCTGCCTTGCCAGCTGCCATCGAGGACCCTGGAAGCAGGGCTGGTAGCTTCACCAGAACCCACACTCTTCCCGGATACTTCTCTTTCTCCAGCATTGCCATTTATTTCTCTTCTCTGCGTCTCCCGCTGTGCTGGAGGGTGTGCTTCTGCTCACATTCCAGCGCTTTGGCCGGGCCTTGGGGCCGCCCTAACCCCATGCTGCAGGGCTTGGCGAGGCTGCCGGTGCTGGTGCTGGTGGTGGGTATGGTTCTAGAACTGAGGGTGGGGGTGATGGTGCAGCTGCTGCCTCGGCTGCTGAGGATGAGGGTGCGGATGCTGGGGGCTGGGACGTGCTGAGCCTGTGGCTGGCGGGGCTTCTGCCCCCATTGAAAGTGGCTGGGGTTCTCAGGGCAGCTGCACCGTCCAGATCTGAAGGGTAAAGGATCTTATCTCCAAACACACTCACCACAGATGAGGACTTTAATGTGAATTTCAGTGGGGTGTGGGGAGGGACGCGGTCCAACCTGTAACAACACTACTAGTGTAGTTGGAGTGGGAGCCCTCCCAGCGGCCCACAGGGGCCGCACCGGAAGTGGTAGCATGAAAGGTGGGTATTGGAGAGATGTCTCAGGGTAGAGCTCCTTGTTGAGATTGAGATCAAGTTATTAGCGGCTTAAAATAGTCTGT